GCCCCCACTGCCGCCGCCTCCACCCCCACTGCTCTACTACCGCCGCCACCACCGCTGCCGCCACCACTCCCACTGCCGCCACCACCGCCGCCACCTGCCCCGCCGCCCCCACCACCACTACCTCCTCCACCGCCGCCCCCACCACCGCCTCCACCGCCCCCACCACCGCTTCCACCTCTGCCACCCCCACCGCTCCTGCCTCCCCTGCCCCTGCCGCTGCGGCACCTCCCGCTAGAGGCAGCCGCAGCTCCTACCTCCTCAGCACGAAGGTAGTCAACAGCTGCAGCAGAGGCGACTGAGGGGAGAAGGGGGGAGGGCGAACACCCCTCAAAGAAGGGGGTGCGAGGAGTGCCACGAGAAGCGCCTACAGCGACTATGCTAGTCTCACCTGCTAGGAGGTGCTTCTCGAGTAGGTCGACAGTGAGGTTGGTGGGGTCAAGTGCTAGGAGGAGGTCCCTGACTGCAGTGAGAGAGTCAGGGAGGCGGGTGACTATGAAGTAGAGCGTGATGTACAGGGGGGGGGGGGGGGTTCTTGGCGAGAAACTCGGCGGGGAGCGCAGCACGGTAGCGAGTGTCACTAGTGCGGAGGTGAGTAACTAGGTCGGCTACTGTGGCAAAGGCGGACAGGTCTGGGAACAGGTAGGGCAGGAGAAGGCGGCCTAGAGCAGCAATGGCCAGGGAGGAGTAACGAGCGACTACAGCGTCGTACAGTGCTTTTGTTGTCTTATGCTGGCCAAAGTGGGCGCGTTCGGCTAATGGCAGGTGGTTGCGAACGGCTAGGCGAGCAGCAGCGTCACGGGTAAGCCACTGTGAGCGGGTCGCACTGTCAGCTGTGGCGTCAGGAGCGGGCAAGGCGCCAGAAGTGAGGTCAAACAGTGAAGTACCGTCCTTAGAGTCTGTCAGTAGGAACAGCTGTGAGTCGTCTAGCCATGCATTGAACTCTATCGGGCGGCCCTCCGAATCGAAGGTGAGAACGTTGAGAGTGGCCATAGCGGGCAGAGCAGTCGGGCGCGCTAGCAGCAGAGCAGCACGCTAGCAGCAATGCAGCAGGGAGCGCGCTGGCAGCAGTACAGTAGTAGGGCAGGGTGCGCACGGCAGGGCAAGGCGCACGGAAGGGCAGGGCGCGCGGCAGGGCAGGGCACGGCGCTCAGGTAGGGCGCACGGGCAAGGCAGGGCGCGTGGCGGCGCGGCGCGCGGGCAGGGCAGGGCGTGCGGCGGCGCGGGTAGGGCAGAGGCGCGCGGCAGCGCGGCGCGCAGGCTGGGCAGGGTGCGCGGCGAGGCGCGCGGGCAGGGCAGAGGCGCGCGGCAGCACGGCGCACGGGTAGGGCATTGGCGCGCGGCAGCGCGGCGTGCAGGCAGGGCAGGGCGCGCGGCAGCGCGGCGTGCGGGCAGGGCAGGGCGCGCGGCGGCGCGGCGCGCGGGCGCGGGCAGGGCGCACGGCGCGACGCGCGTTCAGGGTGACGCGGCGACGCGATGCACGGGCAGGGCAGGGCGCGCTGCAGCAGACGGCGCGCGACTCAGCAGGGCGCGCTGCAGCAGACGGCGCGCAGGCAAAGCAGTGCGCGCTGCAGCAGGCAGCGCAGGGCAGGGCAGGGCAAGGCAGGGCAACGCGATCACAGTGGCGCGACGGGCGGGGTAGCGCTACTCGGTGGGCCCTAAGAAATCGGTCCTAGGCTAGGACCTACTCTGAAACCATGTCAGAATAACAAGCAGGGATGAATGAACTAGCAAAAGGATGGGTACAAGTAGCAAACCCTAATTTGGGTTGTACCCCATATGGGCTACCCACTACAGCCTACACAATAAGTAACATATATGTTTGACAAGCACAGCATCTACAGGACATCAAAGCAGTTTTTAAAATACTAAGTGAGAACCGCCTACTGACTAAAGCCTCTAAGTGTGAGTTTTTACATGATAGATTGGAGTTTTGGGGACACAGTATTTCAGCTGAAGGAGTGGAAATAGACCCGAAGAAGATTGCAACGATTCAAGCGAGGCATTCGCCAACAAATTTGACCGAGTTGCAGAGCTTTTTGGGGTTCGTCAACTACATGCGCCGGTTCGTCCCCGACATGGCGAAGTTGACTGCTCCGTTGATCGACCTGCTGAGGAAGGGGGTTGAGTACACGTGGGGGGTGAAAGAGCAAGCTGCCTTCTCGGCCCTCAAACAAATTTTGTGCTCGCCGCCCGTGCTTCACAACGCGGATCCGCACCGTCCCTTCGAGCTCATCACCGACGCTAGCGACATCGCCGTGGGAGCAGTACTGTTGCAGGGTTTCGGGAACGGCCTCCAACCAATCGCGTACGAGTCCCGCAAGCTTCACCCGCCCGAATGCAACTACCCGATACACGACCGCGAGATGCTGGCGATCGTGCACGCGTTCAAGGTGTGGCGATGTTACCTCACGGGAGCAGACGTGACAGTACGGACAGACCAGCGATCACTACAGTACCTTCGGGCCCAACCGAACCTCAACCCACGACAGATCCGCTGGTTGGACTATGTGGAGTCCAACTTCCGCTACACAGTCACGTACAAAAAAGGCGCATCGAATATCGCCGCCGCACTCACACGCCCTACCGCCCAACTCCACGCAATCCTACTCGCCCAAACCAACCCACTGTTAACAGGCCTATTCACCCACGGATACAGGTTGACCCATTTTTCACGACTGGAAATTCACAGCAACTAGCAGAAGCTAAAGGAGTCTATTATGTAAAAACAGGCACCAATCGCATCTGGGTACCCGCGTACTCACTACTGAGGGAACTGTTACTACAGGAGGCACACGACGGAATTACCTCGGGACATTTTGGGGTAGAAAAAACGCGACAGCAACTGCAGCGGTATTACTACTGGCCGGAGCTGATGACAGTCGTATAGCACCACGTGGGCTCGTGTCCTATGTGTCAGGTGATGAAGAGCTCGCAAACAAGAAAGGCGGGTCAATTGCAGCCGATTCCACCGCCCGAGCGCGCCTGGCAACAGGTTACCATGGATTTCGTCACACGGTTACCTTCGAACCCTGGGGGTAATGACGCGGTTATGGTCGTCGTTGGCAGGTTGACGAAGATGGCACACTTCGCTGCGTGCAAGAAATCGATCTCAGCCGAAGAAATTGCTCGCCTGTTCATCGCAGCCGTCGTTAGACTGCACGGGATACCAGCCGCGATAATCAGCGATCGCGGCACGAAGTTCACCAGCAACTTCTGGAAGAACCTTTGGGAGCAAATCTGGACCAGGCTACAGTTCAGCTCGTCATACCACCTCGAGACCGACGGTCAAACGGAGCGGACCAATCAGACGATGGAACAGTTGATTCGGGCTACGTGTTACAACCGACAACTTGGGAGCAGCAGCTGCCGCTGATCGAGTTTGCCTACAACAACGCCACGTCAGCAACGACGCAGCAGTCCCCGTTCTACCTGAACTATGGGCAAAACCCTACAGTACCCATGACGCCGAGTCCGGACAACCCAACGCCACGTGCACAACAATTCGCCGAGATACTGCAAGCTGCTCGCACCAGAGCCGCCGAAGCAATAAAAAAGTCAATGTCATCGCAAAACGCAACGCTAACCGCCACCGCCGCCCAGTCACGTACCAAAATTACGACCGCGCTACTGCGGACCCTTCCAAATCAGCCACATGATCACCCCAGTGACCACTCACTTACTAGTGCCGACAGACTGGTACATCAGCCCATCATTCCACGTCAGCCTGCTTCGCCCCTACATCCCAACCACAAGCCAACTGCCTCGTCACCGCCCGCCATCCATGACTCGCCCTGCATCGGAGCCGATCATCGAGCCCAAAAAGATTCTGAGCCATCGGATTCGCCACCCTACGGGAAGTAGGAGGATCGAGTTCCTCGTTCGCTGGAAGGACCACTCACCAACTGAGGATAGCTGGGTGCCCCTGGCCAACATCGAAAACCACCCGGCCCTACAAGTATACCTGAGGAGCCGGGGTTTCTACGATATACACGCACTCGCGTAGCGGAGGGGGGGGGGGGGGGTGTAAGGAATTTTCTCGACATTCCTTAGCGCATCCCGCAACAGCGCGTACAGCAATAACCGTTGTTCGCCCGTTACTGCTAACAGGGCTTCGCCGACTTCGCGCGCACTGTTACACCAAACCATGCACCGCTGGCCCGGCCGTGTCGGCCTACGTTTCGGGACTAGCCCGAGCCTCGATGCCAGCCTAGCACTAGCTAGCTCGCACGCACCACGTTACCGTTTGCATGCTTCGCGTATAAATGTTCGCTCATGCCTTCGCTCACATTTTGTACTCAATTGACACACTGTGCAATCCTCGCTACCTAGATTCATTGCACCCGTAACAATGCTGATCGAGCACCCTACGCAAAGAACATCTTAAAGCCCGAGTTCCACATGGCTGTTTTCAAATTCAAGATTCTTGAATATGAACTCGCCAAAAACCAAGTTACCACCCGAAGTGAAGCATTCCGTCGCTTCACAGAGGAGAGGTCTTGCAACCCTGATGCATGATTGGCCAGCGACAAAACAAGTCTTCGGAGTGAAGTGTCCACGGGAGATGGAGCACTGTTCACATTCAGTAAACTTGAAAACCAAGTTGTACTTACGTGCAGCCATATTCAGGCACAGTCACGTAGTCTACTCCGCTATTCAGGACCACAAGAGCGCGCTAGCTCTAATTTTCACAATGGCAGCGAGCTGTCTGTATCCTTGCAGCAGCCTATGTGTTGTTCTCCATAAAAAAAAAGCCAGCATAAAGAAAAACGTCACGTGAAACGCCCAATTCTGTAGGGACGCGGGCGCTCACATCTACGTGCGAAGCGCAAGGAACGGGCGCTTGCCTGTCTTCAAGACGCTTGCCAACTTCTCGACGCACACGCTTCCGCCCGTCGCACTACCTTCCGCGTGCCTGCACTCCCTTTCGCGTGCTTGCACTCCCTTCCGCCCGTCGCACTCCCTTACGCCCATCGATCTCCCCTCAACCGTCGCCCTACCTTATGCCCGTCGCCCTCCCTAGCGCGCGTCGCACTCCCTTCCGACGTCGCCCTCCCTTCCGCCCGTCGCACTCCCTAGCGCTCGTTGCATCCCCTTCCGCCCGTCGCCCTCCCTTCCGCCCGTCGCCCTCCCTTCCGCCCGTCACCCTCCCTTCGTCTCGTCGCCCTCCCTTCCTCTCATTGTCCTCCCGACCGCCCGCCGCCCTACCTTCCCCTCGTCGCGCTCCCTTCCGCCCGTTGCCCCCCTTTGTCTCGTCGCGCTCCCTGCTGCTCGCCGCCCTCCCTCCCGCTCGTCCCCTCTCAATCCCCATATCTCTCTCCCCTCGTCGCCCTGGCATCCCCGTTACTGTCGCCATCCCTCCCTTCTCCCTTCCCAACTCCCACACTTGTCACGCCCCCTTTCCAACCCGCACACACCCTTCCTTTCCCTTTCCCTGCTTTCCCATGTTCCTTTCCCTGCTTCCCCCCATCCCCTTCCCTGCTTCCCCCCATCCCCTTCCCTACTTCCCCATGTCCCCTTCCCTGCTTCCCCCCATCCCCTTCCCTGCTACCCCCCATCCCCTTCCCTACTTCCCCATGTCCCTTTCCCTGCTTCCCCCCATCCCCTACCCTTTTTCTCCCCATCCCTTTCCCTGCTTCCCCCCATCCCCTTCCCTGCTCCCCACCATCCCCTTCCCTGCTTCCCCCCATCCCCTTCCCTGCTTCCCCCCATCCCCTTCCCTACTTCCCCATGTCCCCTTCCTTGCTTCCCCCCATCCCATTCCCTGCTTCCCCATGTCCCCTTCCCTGCTTCCCACCATCCCCTTCCCTGCTTCCCCACCATCCCCTTCCCTGCTTCCCCCCATCCCCTTCCCTGCTTCCCCCCATCCCCTTCCCTACTTCCCCATGTCCCCTTCCCTGCCTCCCCCCATCCCATTCCCTGCTTCCCCATGTCCCCTTCCCTGCTTCCCACCATCCCCTTCCCTGCTTCCCCACCATCCCCTTCCCTGCTTCCCCTCATCCCCTTCCCTGCTTCCCCCCATCCCCTTCCCTACTTCCCCATGTCCCCTTCCCTGCTTCCCCCCATCCCATTCCCTGCTTCCCCATGTCCCCTTCCCTGCTTCCCACCATCCCCTTCCCTGCTCCCCACCATCCCCTTCCCTGCTTCCCCCCATCCCCTTCCCTACTTCCCCATGTCCCCTTCCCTGCTTCCCCCCATCCCCTTCCCTACTTCCCCATGTCCCTTTCCCTGCTTCCCCCCATCCCCTACCCTTTTTCTCCCCATCCCTTTCCCTGCTTCCCCCCATCCCCTTCCCTGCTCCCCACCATCCCCTTCCCTGCTCCCCACCATCCCCTTCCCTGCTTCCCCCCATCCCCTTCCCTGCTTCCCCCCATCCCCTACCCTTTTTCTCCCCATCCCTTTCCCTGCTTCCCCCCATCCCCTACCCTTTTTCTCCCCATCCCTTTCCCTGCTTCCCCCCATCCCCTTCCCTGCTCCCCCCCATCCCCTTCCCTGCTTCCCCCCATCCCCTTCCCTGCTTCCCACCATCCCCTTCCCTGCTTCCCCCCATCCCCTTCCCTGCTTCCCCCCATCCCCTTCCCTGCTTCCCCCCATCCCCTTCCCTGCTTCCCCCCATCCCCTTCCCTGCTTCCCCCCATCCCATTCCCTGCTTCCCCCCATCCCATTCCCTGCTTCCCCCCGTCCCCTTCCCTGCTTTCCCATGTCCCCTTCCCTGCTTCCCCCCATCCCCTTCCCTGCTTCCCCCCATCCCATTCCCTGCTTCCCCCCGTCCCCTTCCCTGCTTTCCCATGTTCCCTTCCCTGCTTCCCCCCATCCCCTTCCCTACTTCCCCCCATCCCCTTCCCTGCTTCCCACCATCCCCTTCCCTGCTTCCCCCCATCCCCTTCCCTACTTCCCCATGTCCCCTTCCCTTCTCAAGCCTTCCCTTCCCGATCAACTCCTTTTCATGCCCTCCCCTTCCCCCTCACTCCTCACCTTCTGCCCTCTACTTCCCATGCATGTGCACCCATCTCTATTTCCCCGTTCATGCTTTCATCATGTGCGCTTGCTTGTATTCCCCTGCCATTGTTCCGTTGCACCTCACACCACCTCCCCCATGTTTCTTCACGCAATTCTTTCTTTCTTTCTCCCCTCTCTCAGTGGTGAGGCAAAGGAGCATCAGTTGCAAGTTGAGGCGCAGCCAGTCAGTGCTTTACATTGCCTTACCACCTGTTTCTTGTGTGTTGTATGCAAGCATGATACTGTATTACTGTTGGCGATATGCATCGCAAAGGCTCTCCATGTACTTTTATTTTTGCAGTGCAATATATTTTTCCAAGATGCATGGACACTAAGAGAAAAACCATGAACAATACCGTACAACTGAACCTTTCTCAAGGCCTTGAAAAAACCATGAGGGGAACAGGTTATGCTAAGAGCATGGCATGGAAGATGGGCTGAGGCGAGTTGAAGTACCGGTACCAAAAAAAGCTTCAGTGTAGTCACTGCAATAGCCAGGTAGAGAGAGAGATTACGAGGGATGGGGAGGGGGAACAAGGAAAAAGGTCAAACAGAGAGATGAGAAGTGCGGAGATAGGGGAGATAGGAAAGAGGGGGAAGAGGGAAGCAGGGGGGAAGAGAAAGGAGGTGAAAGGAAGAGGGTGAGAGGGAAAGAAGGAAATACCTTAGGAAGAGGGAGGATAGGGACAAAGGGAAAGAGGGAACGGGGGAAATTGGAAGATGAAACGAGGGAAGGAAGAGGGGGAAACGAAGGTTTAGCAGGTGGGGAAACGAGCGGAAACAGAGGGGGAATTCCTGGGAAATGAGGAGAAGCAACGGAGGGAAATGAGGAGAAGCAACGGAGGGAAATGAGGAGAAGCAACGGAGGGAAATGAGGAGAAGCAGGAGGGTACAAACAGGAAAATAGGGAGGGAAATGAGGTGAATCATGGAGGGTAAATGAGGGGAACCAGCGAGGCAAATGAGGGGAAGGAGGAGGGAAAACGAGAGAAATCAAAGGGGGGAATGAGGGGAAGCAAAGGGGGGAACGTGGGGAAACAGAGGGGGAATTGAGGAGAAGCAGGGGTGGATATGAGGGGAAGCAGGGGGGAGGAGAAGCAAGAAGGGAAATGAGGAGAAGCAGGGAGGGAAACGAGGAGAATCAAGGGGGGAAATGAGGGGAACCAGGGAGGGAAATGAGGGGAAGCAAGGAGAGAAAAGAGGGGAATCAAGGGGGGAAATGAGGAGAAGCAGGGAGGGAAATGAGGAGAATCAAGGGGGGAAATGAGGGGAAGCAGGGAGGGAAATGAGGGGAAGCAGGGAGAGAAATCAGGGGAATCAAGGGGGGAACTGAGGAGAAGCAGGGAGGGAAATGAGGGGAATCAAGAAGGGAAATGAGGGGAATCAACGGGGGAAATGAGGGGAATCAATGGGGGAAATGAGGGGAAGCAGGGGGGGAAACGAGGGGAAGCAGGGAGGGAAATGAGGAGAAGCAGGAAGGGAAATGAAGGGAAGCAGGGAGAGAAATGAGGGGAAGGAGCGGGGGAAATGAGGGGAAGGGGGGGAGGAAATGAGGGTGTTGGCGCGCTGATGGCAGGGAGGCGCGGCGAGGCGAGCGGAGGCGCGGCGAGGCGAGCGGAAGCGCGACGAGGCGAGCAGAGGCGCGACGAGGCGAGAGGAGGCGCGCGGAGGCGAGCGCAGGCGCGGCGAGGAGAGCGGAGGCGCGGCGAGGCGAGCGGAGGCGCGACGAGGCGAGCGGAGGGGCGACGAGGCGAGCGGAGGCGCGACAAGCGGAGGCTCCCAGAAACGACGGGAGGCGAGACGACGGGAGGCGCGGCGAGGAGGCGCGACGATGGGAGGCGAGGCACGAGAGGATGCGCGACGAAAGGATCGTTGGCGCGACAGCGGGTGGCGCGACGATGGGCGGGGGAATGCGGAAATGGGAAGCGCGGCGAGAGGAGGAGCTAAATGAGGGAAGGGAAGGAGTTTTCTTGTTGATTATTACTAAGGGTGCATTCCTGTGGAGACACAAATGTCTCAATCGCTTTGTGACACACAAAAACAGCATAAACTGTAGTGTGTCCCAATTGCGAGTCGCATTTCCGCGACCAGTACTGTATTTTTTATTGGTCAGCGTGAAACGCGCTGACATCGCTGACGAATTGTAATCCGACTCGTCAATGTGAAAAATTCGCACGCAGCTCGAAATGTCAATGCACCTGGACAGCCTGCAATGCCAATTTCGTGCGGGAAAAAATCCCGCTCGTCGAAACCACACCCCAGCCAAGCGGTTGAAAAAAGGGATGTACAGTCATTTGTGTCACCCAAACAAATGCGCACAACTGTACATCTCGCCTGGTCGCCTAGAGTCGCGATACATTGGTTGTTTGTGCCACAACATTTGGCAAATTTACAGGCGCGACTCGGGAAATCGGGGATTGAGACACAAGTGTCCCCGCAGGAATGAACCCTAACTCAAGAAAAGCTCACACTTGGGTGGTTTTTTCACGCTCAGTTGGGTTGGTTGTCGCACACTCCAACCGATGTTGAGTGACGACTACACAATCTCCTCGTTGAATGATCTCGCTTTCGCCCCGCCCATATTCCCGAAATGAACTTTTTTGACTTTCGCCAACACGATTCAACCCCTTCAGTTTTTTTTGGCAATAACCATGCTGACCTCGGGCTTTAAAGGAAAAAAACAACAAATCCATCCACTCGTCCAATCTCTCTACAATCAATATTGGGGATAACCGAAACCGACATACAATCAATCTTTCTGTTACGAGTGCAATTGAGTGAACGAACGAGAATTGCACTATCGAAGCAAGAGTACAATGAGCGAAGGTATGAGCGAAGAATATATAGCGAAACTACAGTGGTAACGGTAATGGACTGTGGTTGTCGCGCGACGGGCCTGGGACTGAGGTTGGGAAAAGTGTCGAAGCGGAGGCCCGGAGCGCGGGTTACCCGCCGAGCCGTGAGGTCGGGGTGCGACGTGCGAAGGTGGCGGGCGAATTGTCGATGCGAGGATTGCGAGTGGTAACGGTGCTGACTGTGGCGCTACAGTGATGTACGCGTTGAGCAGGGACGCGAAGTAAGGAAAAATAGATTTTCCTTACACTACCCCCCCCCCTTAAAGAGGTCCTCCTTACGAAAGTGCGTGTACATCCCTGAAATTCCGGCTGCGCAGATACTCGGTGAGGACGGGGTGGTTTTCGATTCTGTCCAGGGGAACCCAATTGTCTTCGGTGGGTGTACGGTCCTTCCAGCGGAGTAAGAACTCGATCCTTCGGGCTCCTCGAGGGTCGCGAACTCTGTGACTCAGGATTTTCTCGGGGGTGATGATTGGTTCAGTCGGTGGTCTTGTCATGCTGGGTGGGCGATTGCGTGGCAGTTGGCTCGTGGACGGGACGTAAGGACGAAGTAGGCTGACGTGGAATGAGGGGCTGACGTACCAGTCAGCAGGGAGGAGGAGGTGGGCGGTGACGGGTGTAAGCATGTGGCTTATGCGAAATGGCCCGCAGTATCGGGGGCGGAGTTTCGGAGTGATGGGCAGTCGGAGGTTCTGAGTGTCGAGCAAAACTAAGTCGTCGGGCTGGTAAGTGACAGGTCTGCGGTGGCGGTCGGCGTTGCGTTTAGCGATGATGTTAGCTTTTTTAATTGCGTCTGCTGCCCTGGTCCGTGCTGCTTGCAAGATTTCGGCGAACTGTTGCGCGCGTGGAACCGGGTTGTCGGGATTCGGGGTCATGGGTACTGTTGGGTCTTGTCCGTAATTCAGGTAAAACGGTGACTGTTGGGTCGTGGCGGATGGGGCGTTGTTGTATGCGAATTCGATGAGTGGCAGTTGCTGTTCCCACGTGTTTGGGTCGTCGCACGTGGCCCGGATGAGCTGTTCCATGGTCTGATTTGTCCGTTCTGTCTGTCCGTCTGTTTCGGGGTGGTACGATGAACTAAACTGTAGTCGCGTGCCGAACTGCTGCCACAGGTTCCGCCAGAAGTTGCTGGTGAATTTCGTGTCTCTGTCGCTGATGATTGATGCTGGTATCCCGTGCAGTAGAGATGAAGAGGCGGGCTGTTTCTTCGGCTGTGATTGATTTTTTGCAGGCTGCGAAGTGTGCCATTTTCGTCAGTCGATCGACGACGACCAGGATCGCGTCATTTCCACTCGCCCCGGCCGGTAACCCCGTGACGAAGTCCATCGTCACCTGCTGCCAAGCACGCTCTGGGGGTGGTATCGGCTGCAACTGTCCCGCCGGCCGCTGTCGTGATGATTTCATGAGCTGACAAGTGGGACACGATGCCACGTGTCGTTGTACGTCGGTCAACATTTCGGGCCAGTAATAATACCACTGCAGCTGCTGCCGTGTTTTTTCTACTCCGAAATGCCCTGAAGTAACTCCGCCGTGTGCCTCCTGTAACAGTAATTCCCGTAGCAGTGTATACCCAGGTACCCAAATGCGGTCAGTCCCGGTTTTTACGTAATAGACTCCCTTTGCTGCTGCGAACTGCTGCGAATTTCCTCCTGTGAAGAATGGATCCGTCTGGTACCCGTGGGTGAATAGGTCTGTCAGTAGCGGGCTTGTCTGGGCGAGTAGTATTGCGTGGATCTGGGCAGTGGGGCGGGTCAGTGCGTCGGCGATGTTCGAGGCTCCCTTTTTGTAAGTGACCGTATAGTGAAAGTTGGACTCGAGGAAATCGAGCCAGCGGATCTGTCGTGGGTTGAGGTGTGGCTGTGCGCGAAGGTACTGTAGTGATTTATGGTCTGTCCGTACTGTCACGTCCGCGCCAGTCAAGTAACAGCGCCATACTTAGAACGCGTGCACGATCGCAAGCATTTCGCGGTCGTGTATCGGGTAATTTTTCTCGGGCGGATGCAGTTTTCGTGACTCGTATGCGATAGGCTGTAGGCCATTGCCGAAATCCTGTAGCAGTACGGCTCCGATGGCGATATCGCTTGCGTCGGTAACTACTTCGAATGGGCGGTGTGGGTCGGCGATGCGCAGGACGGGCGGGGAACAGAGAACATTTTTCAGGGCAGAGAAGGCAGCATGCTCTTTCTCCCCCCACGTAAAAGCGACCCCCTTCCGCAGTAAGTCCGTCAGTGGGGCAGTTAACCGTGCCATATCGGGGACGAACCGACGTACATAATTAACGAACCCTAAAAAGCTCTGCAGCTCCGTGATGTTCGTCGGGGGATGCCACGCTTTTACCGTGACCAGCTTCTTTGGGTCGATTTCAACTCCAGCCTCCGAAATAACGTGCCCCAAAAATTCTAACCTATCCTGGAAGAACTCGCACTTGGAACCCTTGGTCAGTAATCTGTGCTCGTCTAAAACCTTAAACACTGCTTCCAG